AACACTGCTGATTGTTGATGTCTGTGTTCAAGGTGGATGTTGAAAAAGAATGGATATTTCTCTGCACATCAGCTCTTCCCAAAACTCACCTCAGTGACTGCACACTGTAAAATGATTGTGCTCATGCTGGGTATGTAGTGTGACGTGTGGCATTCCTGGGTTAGAAATCTTCCTTAATAGCTATGGGACAGGGCTCTGGGAAGTTTTGAGGCTGTGGGTCATGAGTTTCACAGGTCCTGTAGAGCATCTGGTTAAAGTTAGGTTCTGAAATAGTGACTGTGAATAAAAACCCAAAAGGTGCTTCTACCTGAGTTCCTAATCCTGGTGAGCAGGTATGAACTGAGTGCCACCCACATGGCAGGAGCTGTGAGCAATGATTGACATAATGGTCTGTTTGTGCCCTCCCAACTCTCCTAGGAGCAATTCCATATAATGAGATCCATAACACTGGTGAGGTGCTGGAGGTCAGTTTGTACATGAGCCCTGTCCTGTTGAATAGCATGGAAGTGCTACACCAGTGGGTTTTGGTCACATCAGGGAAAGAGTCATCAAAATGTTGGAGGATGGGAATGGCAGATCAGTCCATCACTGGTCTCTAGTATCTGATGCTTGATAAGTCTCCTTTTAGAGCCACATTAAAAGTGCTCAGAGCACCCTTGTTCCTCCTGGAGGTCAGACCTGGCTGCCAAGGCTCAGAGTCCCTCATGCTCCAAGGGGATCAGGAAAAGCCCACAGCAGCCTTTGGGGAGGTTACCATGAGCAGACTCATCCCATTTCAGGGAACCTCTCCTTTATCTCCCACCTGTGCCACAGACCTAGCCACATCACAGTAAAATATTGGGCTGTAAAAGGAAACAATTAATGAAGAGCTGTCAGAAGAGATATATAACAGACAGACAGTATTTTAAAATTACATAGCTAGCCTTTTTTTTTTTTTTTTTTTTGTAGTCAGATTCTTCCATATGTTGCCAGCCTGAGGCATTTTTGTAGGAACTTTACTCAAACCAGGGACTGATATTTTAAAATTTCAATCTTGCTTGAGACACACCCCTCCTCTCATCTCCCCTCCCCCAAGTTTATACTATGTATTTTCCTTTGTCTTGCTGTTTTAAAGTTACATCCTTTGCTCTTGAGACACTCGTGTATTCTCTGCCTGGGGTATGCACATGGAGCCAAGGGGTTGGAGACAAGAGCCTGATTTGGGATGTAGCATCCCATTCTCCTCTTCAGCCTCCATCTTCCACTCAAGGAAAACAAGATCATTGTGGCAATAACCTGATTCCCACCAGTGCAGCAGAAATCACTTGCTTCTCTCATCTCTGTGAACTGCAATATCCTCCACATATTCAGGCATCACTGTTGGATGACACAAGGCAGGATTCCTTTGCAGAAGGAACTTAATGGGTAGGAAAAATAGTGCCTTAGTGTGTAGCTTCCCATTGATTTACAGTGGTATGTGACTCCTCTCAGGATGCTTTGTCTCTGAGGCAATTTGAATAATCTCTGTTCATGCTAATTTTGATGTCTACTTTATGTTTTAACACACCAAGCAGAGTTTGTCATTTGTGTCACTGGGAGCTGGCCAACAGCTGGCAACTTTGCACAATTGACCTCCAACAGAAAGGAAGCCAAATTCAGCTGAAGCTTGAATAGCACTTCTTGGAGCATAAGAAGTAAGCAAGTTTTTTTCTTCAACTATAACCATTAGATGCTTGTTTAATGAAAAAAAAAATTAGTTAAGGGTGACAATTTTTCATACACGTCTTTAGAAAAAGGGTATACATATCAGAGCCCATGATCTCATGTATCATAAATCTTCTAAAAGCAAATCTGGGAAGGATTTTATTTAGCCTCTTAATTCCACACCCTGCACTGAAAAAGGCAAGTAATATGTACTGAGGCCACCTCTAACAGATATCTGATTTATAATCTCAGAGAAACCAATTCTGCAGCATGTCTAGGCAACTTGTTGTAGTGTTTCCTTATACTTAGTTAGGAAGCTTTCCCTAGTATCTAACCTAAATCTTTGTTTCGGCAAATTAAGACAATTACTTCTTGTTTGAGCACTATTGAACTGTCTGAACAATTGATCGTTCTTCTGTGGTGTTACTATAAAAACAAAACAAAACTACTGGAAGAGTAGAATCATATCTTTGTTTAATCTTTTCTAGATTAAATAAATCCAGTTTTTTTAGTATGTGCTCCTAAACCTCTTATTGTTTTCCAGTCACCTTTAGATTTTCTGTAGATTATGTATTATCTCAATCTTTGTCACACTCTTGCAGATTAAATGCCCACATGTTTATTTTATAGTCAAGTCTTTAATAACACCTCACATAGCAATATGCCTTTTTTAAAATCATACAAAATTTTCCTCCTTAATATGTATGTGATTTGCTGTATTCTTTCAGATATTATATTGGGTTTTAGCTGAAGGTTTTTTTTTTTAACTCAGTGCTGGATTTTCTTCTTTCAAATGGAGCATCCTTCATGCTTTTATTAAATTTCATTTGCTGATTTCAAACCAAACCTCCAGTCTACTCAGATCACTCTGTATTTTGTCATCTGAAAGTACTATTTCACAGATGAAATGCCTTCACATACTGCTGTGAAGCACCACTGACCTGAATAAGTCTTCATTTCAAGGGCTTTGTTATTGAGATTCTGGATGAGGTCCAGGTATGAAGTCATTACATGGTCAATTATTTTCCAGTCTGCCACAGCAGTGTTCCAAGCACATGTACTGGTACTTTATGTGTGTGGGAAATACCAAATCTGACATTTCTGCTTTACCATAATACTTTAGAAGAGTTTTTATATTTCCATTTTTATTTATATATATATATATATATAAATGAATGTGTGCACCTAACATTGATTTGCCCATGTGCTATCTGTTTAGGGTTGTACATGTTTCTGAAATTAAACAATCCTTCTCTTCTACTTTTTGGTTTTCATAGGCTGCCTCAGGGGTCTCTTGCACATAAATAATATTTTTTCATATGGTCTTTTTTCTTCTCCCTGCAATTATCTCTGTAGACTAATGAGTACTTGAAAGTGAATTGTATTTGAAACCAATGGAGGTCAATAGAGGTGACTCAGTATTATGCTAATTTAGTTCTTGGCTCCTATTATATATTGTCCAGGTCCATTCAGGTTTAAGAGTAAAGAACAGAAGCTTTTGTGTTTCAATGTTTACATGAGTTTTCCCCTTTTGCTGAAGTATAATGGTTGATATTTGCATTTAATTAAGGTTTAACTCAAAGGGATACTGGATTTGGCTTCATTAGGCTTGAAAGATGTCCTTGACACAAATAAATATTAGCATCCTGGCTAAGGGAGAAACCAAATAAAATAACAGTGATGAATTAAAAAAAAAAAAAAAGAAAATAAGAGAGAAATATCTTTCACACATCACAGGGTTTTCTCCAGATTTATCACAAAAATGAAAAGCACTTTGAAGATGGGAAATTGCAAATGCAGAAACTGTGTCTTCGTATCTCCAATACGTGTAGCCACATGCTTCAAATGAATGTGACTGATAGAAGTGTTACCAGAAAACTGCAGCCAAGAATCAAAAAGGGATTGCTGGATTTTAAAATGTGTGATTCATTTTCATGCCATTAAGACAAGAAATGTGTTTTTTCCCCTTCTCTCTCTGGTTTTTGAACCATTCCTTCTCCTTTCTCTGGAGTCATATTGAACCTTTGGTATATTTTATTGTGCTCAGACATCTGACTAGGAGAGGAAAACCATGTATTTTCTTTCTTTAAATGCCAAAATGTCATAAATTCCCACCTCCACGTATTGTATCCACTTCTGAAGATGTTAGGGGAGATTTTCTTCTGAATGTTTTTCTAGGAGATCTGTGCAAAAATGACTGATTTAAAAGCAGTAAGATATACTTACTCTGGTAATGGAAGACAGTTTTCAGAACTTTGACAGTTACAAGTTTGGCAGACAGTTTTGCCTTCTAAAAGATCCTGATTTTCAGAAAATTCTATATTGCAATAAATAAATTCACTTCCAGGCAGCTCATATTAAACATCAAAACTGAAGCATGTAAAATCTGAAGCTGCATTCACAATCCTTAGATGCAAGATCTCAGTCATAATCCATTTTGGTTGCCAAGGTCTCAAGACCCGTAGTACATCTGATCAAATTTTCTGTTCGTGGGACAAATTTCCTTTGATGCTGTTGTTGGTTTCCTATCAGCTGACCCATTTTCCCAAGGAATTAATCAACTGGATGACATTTAGAATAAGCTTCTTGGCAGCCTGGTATGAGGTAAATAAGTGTCAAATTGAAACTATGTAAAAATTAGTATTTAATTTGATTGAGATGAATAAAATAATACAAAATATTTAATCAGTATAATTTTTATTATTTATTTCACTATGTTTCTTATATTTTATAATTTTATGTATAATTTTAATTATGTTTTTATTTATTCATAATTGTTTGATGCTAGCAACAGATCTCAAGTTTGTGTCAGAGTACCCAATATTTAGAAATCCTTAGAGAGGAAATATTATAACAACAATTGACTAATTTATTTGCTATGAAGTAGAAGGCATTACATTAATCTTTACTGGACTTTAAAAAGATAGTCTTTGTTCTTGCAAGCAACCTGAACAATCAAAGAATGAAATGCAAAAGTTCTGAGTAGAAAGCTGCAGTCACTACTCAGCAATGCAAAGTAGAATGACACATGCAAATTAAAGTCCATACGGTATTTTTCAAGCTCTAAATCAAATTTGTTGGAATAAAAATGGTGAGAAAAAAACTTCAGACATGCTCAAATCCCATTTTCTGAATTGATTTGAGAATCACGAGGCTTGAATCTTCATCTTAGGTCATTGAAACTTAAGAAACTGAAGGTCAAAATCCAAATGCCATCCCCTGTACTTCCTAACACCTAGAAATGGCAAATCCAGGCTTACCTGTGATGTTTCACAATGACTCAGGTCACCTTTACTGTCTCTTTCATGTCACTGCAGAGATTCTGTACCCTTGGTGAGAGTCTTTGGTAAGGGGACAGCTGATGAATATGAATGGAAAGACAGCTGACACAAACCAGCATGTCAGGTACTGCATCCAGCTGGAATTCATCACACCCTACTTTGAGTGGGTGCCTGGAATGGGCATGATAGTAGCAGACCACTAGATCATCAATTAAAATAATCTTGACATGGTCCTGAGCTGTCATAGGGTTTGTTGTGGTCTCTCCAGTTATGATCAAATGACTGACTCATATTTCATTCAATGGCCTGTCCAGTGTCAATTTGATGAATGAATAATAATTAACCATGGTTAAACATAATCACAAAATGCTCTGAGTTGGAAGGCATCCACAAGGATCACCAAGTCCAGCTCTTAAGTGAACTGCCCATATAGGGATTGGATCCATGATTGGTGTTATCATCATACTCTCACCAACTGAGTTAACCTCAGGGTCATGGAATTTATTTCTGTTGAGTTATTCCTAGTTTCTTGTTTTAGTTTCCAGATGATATTTGTCACAGTCACTAATGAGACCAAAATTTGCTTAGCCAAAGAACTACTGTGACTTTAAAAGACATTTTAAAGAAGGCATTTGTAGACATTTCTGCTTACCCTGAGGTTTCCTTAGCTAGCCTAAGCATTGAGGGTATTAATGACTTTTATTTTAAACCACTTTCATGGCAATCAGATTTCCAATGCTTATTAACACTGATGTTTCCCCTGAGTAACAAAAACACACAAAATTTAGTTTATATTCTCTAATGTTTTTATGGTGCCCATCTAGATATACCAGTCCTGGAGGCAGAACTACCCATGACTGCATGCAGACAACTTTTATACCTCTTCCACAGTGAAGCAGCTGATTTCTAATGATCCTGTGATTTTTTTTGTGCGTGTGTCCCTGACCTAGGTGAAGCTGGTGTTGTTTTGCTACCTGCTAGAAGAGGAGAAAATTTTCACATTTCTAGATGGTGCAGCAACAGTGATGGAACTTGGAGGTTTGAAGTACTCAAAACTTATTTTTACAATGAATATTTGCTGAATTTCCATGAATGTTAAAACTCTTCTTTGAATCTCCAGAATATTGAGGAAGATTTTCCATTGAGCACATGTTTCTGTCTGTTGGTTTTATTTTAAGAACACGGCAGTGGAGAGGATTGAGTAAAGTGAAGATGCAAAGACAAGCAAGGGACAAGGAACAAATCACAGCAGCAAATCTTGGAGGAGTGTCTGAGAAAAAGTTTATTCCACAAAGTGGCAGCATTAATGCGTCAAGAGTGGAAAGGAACCTGAGACAAATACCTTGGATGGTGGGAGGTGTCTGGAAGCCCTTGTGAATGATGGTAGACAGCATATGGTGTGTGGGTGTCCACTGTGATCTGTTTCCCCCCAGCAGCACATGAACGGTACCCAGTCTCAAAGTCATATTTCCTCTTAGTCATAGTTCTAACTTCTCTTCACTTTTATCCTTCATGCCCTCCTGAAATCATACATTTGAAATGGTTTCTGCTCTGTTCTAAGCATTTAATTCCTGGAAAGATATCAACACACCAGAGGGGACTTTTAAGAGGAGTGAGAAAGAAAAGCTGTGGAGGTGATTCATAGTAACAATGGTAATTGTGATAACAGTGGTTGCTGCCCATTGCCTAGCAGCAATTTCAACATGTGTCCTCACCAGTATCTATTTTTAAAAGGACATTCTTTATTGTGTAACAGTATGTTTGTGTATTTAGCAAGATATAGAAAGGAAAAGGGGGAATGACTGAAGGTCCTGATAGAGCTTAGAAAAAGGAGAGAGGAGGGGAGGAGATAAAATGTTTTAAATACATGTGTTCAAGAATTATCAAAAAGAAAAAAATGTGGGAGAAATATTAATATTAATATTATTTATTAAATCCCTTCAATTTTGAATGTGGAAATGGTGGATGAAAAATTACAGTCAGATTAATAAAGTCAGCTGGGTAGAATAAATCCTGAACTACAATTCTGCAACAGCAGAATTTTCAGGTCTTGCTCTCTCACTCTTACATCCTTCAGGACAAAAAATATGACAGACATTTATCCTGGTGTTACTGACATCACATTTTGAGAACAATGGTAGAATTGAAAAGGAGATTAGGTCACAGTTTGGCTAACACAACCTCTGTTGTCACTGGTGTTGTGTCAGAAAGAAAGACCCCCTGTCAGAAACCAAAGTGGCTCTGAGTGAGTGGCTGTGAGAGAAAACTTGTTTTCCATTTGTGTGATGAGAAAATCAAACCTGAGAGTGAGAGAAGCATAAGTAGAGTAGAGCAAATAAAAACCCCTCATTTTTTTGTAGATTCACTGTTTTCTGTGGGTACTAAAATCCTGCTATTAAGATTTATAATTGTTCAAGGCTTTATTGTTTAGACACTTAGAAGTCATTCACTAACTCATATGTTTTAATTTCAGAGTAATCAAATACAAACTAAGAAATCTTCATGAACTAAGGAGCGCCTAATCTCAGAACATTAAATCACAGCAAGAAATTTTGATTTGAGCATTCACATCTTGAACTGATCGTAAAACTCTTAAGAGATCTGATGATATGGTCTTTACTCCCACCCAAGAGCAGATTCACATAGTTACATTTGTGTTTTTGTACATAAAGGGTTATGGTTATAGATGACCATGTACTATATTGTAAAACATAATTAACTAACAGAGATTTAGGGGGAAAATAATGAATTTTTATGGATTAATTATTACTTCAGGTGATATAACTAGTGTAGAAATATAGCAAGGAATTGACTCTATGCTTCTGAATTCATACCTGAAATTGTCACTAGTTTACTGAAAACACTTAAGTTTTACTTGCAACCACTGAAAGCAGCAGACAGTATGTTTGCTCTACTGATATTTCCAAACTGTGCCTTTACCACCAGTTGGTTTCTAAGCCTTTCCTTTAGTATTTGTTCAAATCTTGAGATCAATGCCTATCAAAACAGGAATGACATTTCTGGGCAAAACTTACTGAAAAAATCATTTAGCACTGTCATCATATATTAGAGAGTAAACTTAAGTTTGTCAGGTAGCAAGCCTGCTAGAAACACAACAACACATTGGGTATGAAAAACAATTTCATATAAACGATGCACCTAAGCTCATGACTATGCATTGTGGAAGCAACATGTGCTTTGTGCCTCTATAGAGTTTTTACTCCAAAAGATGCAGCCTGTGCCTTGGCAGGGTGTGTGTATCAATGTGTGGAACACTTGATGTGAAAAACAATCAGTTGTGACAATCAGCCAGTCAGCAATCTTGAACCCTTTCCATCTCTGCTCCATTTATGGGCATCAGTAAATAAAGCTCTGTTCTTAAAGCTGTGTTTTCATTTATTTTTTTCTGCCAGCTAGTGCCAGGCAACTTAGTGGAGCCTTCCAACATTGCCTCCGTATGGAAATAAATTGAATCAACATTGTATTTTTTCCCCCAGCATAAAATGTTCCCTCTCTCTTTCATACTCCTTTTGCTTCATGAGAAAACAGCTTCAAAATAAACAATTAAAGGGCCCTTGTAAACTTTGCTATCAGTTACTTAGATTTGGTTTTGTGTTTATTTTTTAATAAATAGTTACATTAAAGAGGAGAAGAGGGAGAAAATCTAGTTCTACAGCTGCTGGTCCTCAGTTCATTCTCAGAAGAAAACTAATGGTCTCCAGATAAATATTACAGCTGTTGAAACTTTGAGGAGATGTTCTTCAGTCTGATCCTTGCAACTTGAATTTGGATTTTAAAATGGTCTCTTTTTTTCTAATGTAAATGAATACTTGTTTTTTTTTTCTTTTCTGTGTAATTTTCTTCTTGATTTACAGCTGGGTTCAAAAAATCCAGTGGATGACTTTGCCCGTGTGACCTCCCCTTCTTTTCTTTCCAGTTCTTTCATGAAGAATGACATTTTCTGTCCATAAGGGTGTTTTCAAAGAATCTCAACATCTGTAGAAAAAGCAAACAAAACCCCCAAAATGACAAGAGCAACAACAACAACAACAACAACAAACAAACAAACAACAACAACAACAAAAAAAACCCAAGGACATTGTGGAAAACATTCTGGGCTGTGGGAGAGAAATCCTATAGTTCATGTCCTTCCTTTCAAATGCACTTTCATATGTGACTTCAGGCAATTTACTTGATCTCTCCAGCTCTGAATGTACATGAACTCAGCAATATTTTTAATATATGGATACACAGGAACTAGCAGTCTTATCACTGCTTCTCTACTCTGTTACAGTTTAGATAAACCTATCTTTATAAAGGTTTAATAGTGTTTAAGACAAAATGGATTCTATACACAAGTTACATTTATTGCAAGAAAATAAATGGAAGAAGAAAATATCTGTGAATTTTCAGCTTATCTGGACAAAAACTTTAATTAGCTGTTTCCTCAGCATCTTTTTTGCAAGAAACCTTTAAAGATAACTGCTTTTGTGAGTAGAGAATCTTGAAATATGACAAAGGCTACTGACAAAGGCTACTGAGAAGTCGTAATACAAAGGCACAATGTATCCCAAGAAAGTTTTCATGATGTCACTTCAGCTGAATCTCTGAGGAAAAAAATACTCTGCAAAGAAAAGCACACCAAGAGAGCAAAGACAATCAGATGTATTAACACACAGAGTTAGCAACATCAAAGCAGGGAGGTCCTTGTTTGGTTTTGTTGGATGTGCTTTGGGTTTTTTTCTGAGACCCTGAACTAAGCTCAGTAGCATTTCTCTTCAAGAGCAAGAGGGAGCATTCTGCCTTCCTCCACAGTAGCATTTCTGAAGTAGATTAGATGTGTCATGAGAGATGATGCAGGGCAATTTGTAGAAGGAGATGATACAATCAACATCCACAAATAGAAAACAGAAGCAGTCAATAAATATTTCTGTTTCATAACTGTAAACAGGCAAGAATAATGTACTTGCACGACACAAAGATAAAGTACCTTTCAGTTCACACACCATATCCTCAGGATAAGCAATGAGGAATTTGTGTGACCCAGATGACTTGCACATCACAGCCCAAACTGGTGATGACAAAATTTTGACAAATTGTGAGAACTCAGAAGGAGCTCAGAAGGGTTACAATGTTCTGTAAGAAGTATTCAAAAGGGACATTTCATGAAAATTATTTGCATGTTTCTAGGCCAAAGGAAAATAATGCAATTTGATTACTGAAGATTAAAAGGTTCAAATTTAAGTAATGCCAGTGTACTTTATGGTTGCTCAAAAGAAAAAGGCAAATATTTTTGAGGAAATTAGTTTTTGGATACCAAAAGTACCTGGATTATTAATGTAACAATTAATAATTACATTAATAACTCTAAGTTATTAATGTAATTATTAATAATTACATTAATTACTTAAACTTCTGTAAGGATTTAGAACCTCGTGACATTTTAATTAAAAATATTGCACTGTGAATTACCAGGGACGAGCTGATGAATTGTGTAACTGACAAATTAAGGATAATAAATAGGGAGATTTTATTAATGGACAACTTTCATTACAGTTTTCCTAGTGGGCAAAATCACCATGGAAAATCTACTTGATACTGCTCAAGATTTTTTCCATGATTTAGTAGTAAATACATCATCACTGTCAATAAAGTATGTAATTGGCACAGAGGGTAGAGGAATGGTGAGAAAATGTTGAAGCAGAGCAGTCAGACACAATGACCAAGACTATCTGGTGAAATTATGTATTCAATCAAGATGCTTTTTCAGCTCAGATAAATGAAAAATTTTATCCATGTAAGTATAGGGATTGCAGATCATTTCCTAGAGCAGAAAAATTGGAACTACAGAAGACATTTAGAATATATAGGGATAATAGCAGAAAAAGAACCAGTGGTTTCTGCAGTGGTTTTTCTGCATCAAAAACACTCATTCCAAGTAGGAGCACTTAAAATAAGAAACATCTTCTTATATAGTACTGAAGAGATTATTTTTTATCATATCAATAGTTCTAGAGCTTACAATTTCAAAGGACTATTAGAAAATTGGAAAAGAAATATATTCTAGTTATTAAACACATGGGGAATATACATTCCAGTGAATCCTACTGGGGTTTTCAGCTTTTTTTGTCTAGCAGGGAAAGCCCACATGGATGTTTGAACACTAAATGTCATTCAGTTGGGTCAGATAGCTTTAATACAGTGATTATTTAATAATTAAAAGCAAATGTACTTGAGAAATTATTAAAATTGTGCTGGATTCTTCTCTCCTCATTTATTCATACCAGAGGGTATATTTTGGTCACAGACTGTTGCCTCCATAAAGCAATAATGTGGTGAATCATCAATATCTGAGATAGGAAGAAATTTGGATGAGATGAAGATATATTGCCTACCACAGAAAGACATGGTGATGGGAAGGGGAAGCCTGGCACTGGTGCCAATACAACATCTTTGCATCAGATCTTGGCTGTGTCAGTTTTCAACCCAGTTTGAGCAGTTTATGATTGTGACAAGATTTGAGTCTGAGTAGCAGGGCAATAATCCCCAGCAGCCTATCAGCATTAATGCTATTTCCATTTCAACAGGGATAATACCATAGAGATAATAGAAGTTACATTCATAGAAAGTACATGTTACAAATTCCTCCCTCTCTACTCATTCCATCAGGAGGAGAGCTGTTGGTAGCAGACCTTTATAGCTATAACTACTGGTGTTTTCTCTGTAGAGGTACTAAGTTAAATCCCAGCAATGTCATCCAGCAGAGCAGTTATCACATCAGCTCCTATGCTGGTAACCAGAAAATTTTCTTTATAGAACTCCTGAGTATATATTTTATGTACTAAAGCTAAGAAAATAAATTTTATTCCTTCTTTAGTAACCTCTTCCAGAGATCATGCATCAACTTACATATCATATTTCTTAAATAATTATCTTACAAGGAAATTTAACTTGGTGTAAAAATAAAATGTCAATCCCATTTTTCTTCTACAGAAATGTCCTTATGCCAAGACAAGATGAAACTTTCACTATATGCTCATAAATGAAAGAGAAAATATGTTAACTAATGGTTCTTTGTTAGCAAACTATTCTAATTGATTTATTTTTCTTAGTAATTGCACTGCTAGAATGTATCTGTGCTTAAACTGCCACCAGCTCTGTCTAGCATCTATTTGAAACACTGGGCAATGAATGCAAATAATTTATCATATCATAACAGATGATGAATTGGGGATTTATATTTCTAATATTGTCTAAAACTATTGCACAATTAAAAAAAAATCTTAATTCTAAAAAAATGTAAATATTTTTAGAGACTGGTTATTAACCCAAAAGACTGGAATAATAAAGAATGAACCCAAAGTACTTTCTTTTTGTCCTCTTCCTGGTTTTATGAACATATACAAAGAAGTTTAATATTGCAGATACTCATATTATTCTTGTTTCAAAACTGTGTGGATGATTTTTTGGGCTGACATTCCCTAAAACAAGGGCTTGAATATCAGACTATACCAGCAAAAATTGAAATAAGAGAGAAAAAAGGAGGGAGGCAAGATTGAAGTCACAAAGGAGAAAGTTTTGCTTTCAAATCACCAGGACAAAACTTATAAGTTACGTGGCCTCCAACATTTATCCCATAACTTGTCTTATTCTAGTGTTCTATAGGAAAGCAGAGAGGAAAATCTGTACATTTTCATGTGAACAACCATTGTTTGTAAAATCACAGACACTGCTTTTTGCATAACAAATGAAATATTAATACGTTTCATCATAGGAAGTATTAAATCTGAATATAACAATGAAGTTTCATGGTATACTGAGAGTTAAGTTTAAAATCATGGGAAGTCAGACAATATTTTGTTCCTGGTACTTTCATGCTTGTGGAGGACACAGTGTGGCATGTTACCACCTCATCATCTCCTCCCATTCCTAGTGTCTGCTGCAAAAGTGTCTTCAAGATCCTGGTCTTCAGTGCAGCTGCCCACTGAGCTGGAAGGATTGTTATTCAAAAGTGTCAATACTCAGGGAATGTCCCAACTTCATTATAAAACAGGTCTCAGGGAATATGTTACAAATGTGGATTATGGAAAATTATCTTTTTCCTGAGTACAGCCATGATCTATGCCAGTTATTAACAGTCTCCATGGACTTTGATCAAGCACTTAAACCCTTGTCAATTTTTTCTTACAGCTGGATCATATTGTCCTTATTTCCCATCTGTGAGCATTGCTTATTTGGAAGTTAGAAAAATCTTTTGATGGATTCCTGCTGGAAAGGTCAAGCCATATATCTCCATCTAATTTTAATCACCAAGTTTTATGTAGTGAAAATGGATGGGGAATCACATGTTGGAAAAAATTGCTTAATAATAATGGCTGGAAAACTTATATAAAGCCCCATTAAGAATGGATCTCCTGCCCTGGTGATATCCAGACAGCTGTGTAACATGACTACAGATTGTGACCTATCATTCAAGGTGCATAATTCATTATTCAAAGAAACCTGCTTTAGGCATCTAGGAAAACTGTTTTTGCTGTCAACAAGGCAACAGCAGGAAAATGATAATTTGAAGAACACATTGAAGTTAGCCATGAAAATGGCTGTATAAAGAATCAAAGAAGAGCAGAGTGTCAGTTTACCAGCTGCTGGTTGTGAATTTTCAGTATTTATCTTCCTTGAAGCACTCAAGTTACGAAGGATCTCTGGCAGATTTGTAGTCCAATGCTCAAAGCAGAGCAAATTGCAAAGTTAGATCAGGTTGTTCAGGTTCTTGCCCAGCTGAGCAGGCACAGTGCCCCACTACAGCCCCTAC